GGCATTGAATTCATTGTGTAAGGTATGCAGTGTATTTATAAACATACTGGATGAGTTCTTTACAATATTCTGCGTAAGCAATGTGCGAGAAAGTAAAATAATTAAAACGCAATAAACAAGATGACAATGATAGAGTTGGCAATCAAATACAAATAGATTGAAAATGTATAATAGTAATTATTAAACATTAGGGATTTTCATTTGATATATATATAGCAAAAAAAAGGAGTAAAAACTGTATGTGACGTATGGGAGGGGATCAACTGCACACATTCTCTTTAGTTCCAGATCCCCTTCCCAACATTTGAACTACAAAAGTTGAAATATTAATAAAAGTGAAAAACAAAAAAAGCTTGTCTGAGAACTGACAAATAAACTTGTCAAGAAAAATATTAATCACATCAAACTTTATTACTCATATCAAACTTAGTATCTTTCAGTTTCAATAAAATAATGCTTCAGTGCACGATTTTGTTACTTAAAAAATCACAGATTCATACAAATTTCTAAGAGTTGTGTGGACCAGAAGAGCTGTAATCATGAATAGACTCGCTCAGGATAATGAAAATCTTGAAATAAATACAAATTTAAATTTTGTATAAAAGAAATGAAATTGGGGACCACCATTCATTATAAATAATTTTTTTTTCATCTCGTTTTAGGCATTGCTGCTCTAGAGGTAATACATTGGGTACATTTTTCTTCAAACTTTTAGGAAATATAATGTAGAATCAATTCAGAAATGCTGTATTACATAAATTCAAGAAGTTACCATTGGTGAATATTCTTAGCTTGAGCTTCTAATTAAAGAAATCTTACAATTATTAACCACTTCAATTTTTCTTTCCCATCTTTCATCTTTATGGCATTATTAGTGAATAATATTATCATACATTTTGGCATTTATAGTTCAATAAGTCTCACCACTATGTACTGCTACAATTCTTCATATTCCTTGAAATAAATTTTTGACTACTTATTTTGCCCTTGAAATATCTGGCTATGAGGTATGGTAAAAGTGCCCTCTCCTAGAAGAATATTTTATTTTACTTTTTAATTATTATATTTTTTTGTATCTTGTATGTAATGCTGCCCTAAAAGTATACTCCCATTCCTTTTGCTCGAACAACTATTCCCATATTACATAAGAAATGCGAAAGTCATGAGAATAGCAGTTATGCAGAATAGATGCAGAAAATTATGCACAAGGAAACAATAAGAGTGTGATATCCTAATGAAAATAACACGATCACATCCCCTAACACACAAAATACATTTCTAGTTTCAGACAAATTTTTCAATGAACGTATGTTTAGGAATTTCTATCAAAGATAGCAAAGGATAAATATAACAAACAAATATTGAACATAAGAATGTTCCAAATACTAGTGACATTTATTTTTCTACATCATAATGTAATTGATTCACTATGTACAATTCTGAATATATTTACTGATTTGATAGAGTTCACATTAAATAAATATTAATGATGCTGTTGATTTTTGTAGAAACGAAGACCGCAGTATCCACAGATATGATTTCCTGGTTTATCCTGCAACAATCAAACAAATTTCAAATGCAGTACTTACAATGAATACGTTCTACAAAAATTCTTACTTATTAGCTAGTTATAACAAGTTACAACCTAAAAAAGAAAATAAGACATAATTATAATTATGAATAATATGTTAGAAGAATATGTTGCAAAGGAAATGATTTATCTTAACACTAATGCAGACACACACACAGAAGGATGTCACTGTTCACTACATGCTTACTCGAACCTTTTGTGATGTGAACCATGATGTGACTGGAGTCACAAAACATTCTAGCGTACAGATGCCAGATTGATTTAAATTATAAATGGATTTCATTGTCTTTAATGTAAGATGATACCACTGCACATAAAAGCCATAAGATTAATTTAATGGTATTTAATCTTTTTATAGTCATCAGACTGCCACTTATTCTTCTATTCAGAGCATTGCTCTCTGTTCTTCTACTGTTATCAGTAGTATCCACAATTTATGTAATTTAAAATTCTAATTAATAGAATGTCATGGAAGTCATGCAAGAGTTATTAAATAAGTTTTCTACCTAATTAAGAAATAATAAAGTTAAATAGAAAATTGTATAATTTCTTATCAATATGGTTCCCTTCTAGTTCAATACACTTCCTCCACTTTTCTGTTAATGATGATATTACAGAAAAATAAAAATTATTTTCCAGTCTTTCAAAGTACTCATTTACAGCGCTCTTCACTCGTTCATTTAATACACATTGACAACCAAACAAGAGTTTTTTGAAACTTATGAACAGAAAGTATTCACAGTGGCGCAACCTGGACTTTAGGGTGGGTAGTTTAATTCTTCAAAGCCACAATCTTTAATTGCAGCAATTAATTTCTGGGACTTGTGCATGGGCACGTAGTCGTGAAGGAACACACCTTTAGACAGCTTCTTCTTTATGGTATTCCTTATATTGAGATACGGGAGGGCATAGGATTCTCCAGTAATTGATTTCTAGTTTTCCATAAGAAATGCTGTGTACTCTATAAGAATGCCTACAAATACTATTTTGGCTCCGGTCGTAACTTATATCACATCCCAGATAATTGAAATGTGTTACTTGTTCTATTGTTTGGTTTGGTTAACACAATTGAAACTTTATACTTTAATACCATTCAAATAAATTATATCCTACATATATCTTTTCTAATCAAGGATTTGATATAACAGGGTTTTTTACCGATGGCACTTTGAAGGAAAGGATCACTTTTTAGAAAATTATTCCTTGGATCTTAAAAAATCCACATTGTTCATATATTTTAATTGCCCATTAGCCAGAGAGATTTAATTACTAGCCAATAGTACTTAGAAATGAAGAGCAACCCACCATAAGCTACACTCAAACTAGTTAGAGTGCAGCTTCTTCAGGCTTTTTTCGAGACGGAAGTACAATTTTGTCACATAATTTCACCTTTGTTGGCCAGGTTTATATGTATATGTTTATATTGTTTATGTATTATGTTTATATTGTTTAAATAACTATAAATTTTAACTTTAGTTTGGTCACTTTAGTAAGCCCGTTATATTTTGGGAACTGCAAAATTCAAATGTATTTGTATGCTCAAATCCTTTTACAGCTAAATCAACTTGCTTTGGTTGTGCAGTTCCAAGTCTGCATAGAGATTCCAGCCTCAACCTTTAACTTCAAATCTGGCCAATGCAAAATTACTAACACTTTTTAAATAAAAAAATCAAGGTAACAAAATGATAATAATAAAATTACTTGGAAGAATCTGAAACTGAAAAATTGTCTCAAAAATGTTTTGATTCCGGAAAAAGAAGATTTTTTTGGGGTTTCAAGAGTAGTTGGTAGTATTTAGGGTTAAATTGCAATGTAAGTAAAATGCACAATGCTTTATACTAATTTTCTACTGCAGGATGAACCTTGAGCCCATGACAACATTTGTTTGTTTACCGTCAATCTAAATACTGCTAGCTGTAATAGTCTGAATCTAATGTGAGGCCTGGCTGTTCACATCACTACCAAATTGTGGTAAGGAAGGGAAATACAAATTACTATTCACTCTTACTCAACCCTTAAAGTCCAGTGTTTGCCAAGATCTCATTAGTAGTATAATAACAGAAAAAAGTACACTTACGTAATAAAGGCATCTTTGGTAAAGTGAATGAAATATCACCCAATAAAGCTTTAAATGTCACTTACTAAATTAATGTAGACACGAGGATGTCCAGTAGGGCCTCCACCACCATCACACCAGACAACTCTGTCCTTCTTTGCACTTGGAGGAGTCTTTTCAATCAAATCAATAGCAAACTGCTCATTAATTTGCTTTGGCCTGTCTATAAATCGAGCCAGTCTGTAATCATCTTTTTCCCAAATCTGGAAGATATCTTTATTTATTAAACACAAAAGGCATTTGATACACATATACAACTATGAAAAATACTCAAAATAGAGAAAACTAAAAAATTTGAACAAAAAAATTCTTTCTTCGCTAAATAAAACCTTTAAAATTGTTGTAGTGAAACCCTTTTAATATTTGGACACCAGTCTAAGGATGTTGAGTCAAATACGTTCTTACTTCGAAAAACACGAATTGAACATATCATAATCATTACTACATCTCTTGCAATCCTATCAAAATATGGTATTTCATCCAAAAACTAAAGGCATCCAAATCAGATGGATTTCACTGTAAGTTCATCTGACTATAATTGTTTGTGCACATCTAACATGCCTGCCCAGTGTGAGTTTTCTTATCTTCGGGAATCCACGAATCTTGGGAATAAAGTTTTGAGGAAATTACTGCAGTTGATTTCTTTATGTGCAACAAATTCCTCTGACATGCCCCCATCAAAGTTCGGCACGCCATGGCCACTTTCATTTCATGAAACCAGAGTAAACCAGGGTTGGATTCGGAACGGTCTCCTTCGTGAGAGGTGTTTTTCCTTTGAGCAATTAAAGGGTGAAGAGTCAGAGAATATGTAGATGAGTTTAAGAATAGAAGACAACGAATGGGCCTTCCTTTGGGAGTAAAATGATGCCTTAATTTGAAGATACAAAATTAAGCAATAATTAAACCACAAACATACGACCTAGGCAACTATATATTACTTTTCAATAATTCAAGTACTTATCAATGCGACTACGCCCATTACGTCGGAATACGATATGCTCTAAATATTGTAAGTTAGTGAGAATGAATGACTAAATATATTGCCGATTCTTATTTTTGTCTCAAAAGATCGCAAACATAAATATTAACTGAACAATATTTTGAAAATGAATATTCAACAAAAATTAATTTAATATTTACTTCTACCAACATCCAATTTTAATTAAAAAATTGCAGGATATTTAGAAAAACCCTAGAGCCTAATAATTTATGTTTTTGAAGAATACACATGAATTCCTAGGCATTCTTTGAGTGCTCAAAGTATTTCAATAACTCCCGACCAACAGCAATGTGGATTCACGCCCAATGGAATGTGTCTGTCCTGACGTGGTTACAGCTACGCATCTTGAAAAATATTTTGTTGTAAAAGGGAAAAATATGTCGAAGTGTTTAATAGTTTTCTAAAACTCATATTCAAATTTATCGTCAGTAGTACCGATGAAATATAATGTTTTTCGTATAAGAATTTTAATGTGAATACTAGTTGAATTAGGAGTAAGTTCAGTTGCACCAGCAGCATAGTTGGCTCACAGGCTTGGTTCTCTTCGCCATGTTGTTTGGGCAGGGCTGGCAACTTATGATTGACCATTTTTGCGTTTGTAATTAAGGTACTTCATAGATTTTAGTTTGTTTTCACATTATGGTTTCTTGTTCTTTGAAGTATGAACCAGATGCAAAATATATAATTAATAATTAATTTTATCTATATCATCTTTTCCGAAGGCATAAAAATAATGGATCTTCCAGGGTCATGCGGAATAAAAACTAGCATTAGTATTTTGTACGAAAATACATGCACAATTTGGAAATTTTAGGGTTATGGTTTTTAACAAATTTGTTTATAATTCTAAAAGCACTATAGCTCCCTTTTCAGAGTCTTGAGAATATGAAGCTGAGGATATGAGTGATTGGTGAATTGTGATGTCTGGTTGTATCTTCAATTCACAATGTCATCCCCAAAACATACCATTTATATAGAGGTAAATATATTCAGTAATATTACTTTTTTTATTACTAGTTAGTTCAATCAATGTATTTTATATGATTCTTTTTGATTTTTTTGTTTTTATTTTGTAGTAAATTACAGCTTCTGATTATGTATTTTCACCCCTTTATGAAACTTGATTTTAATGACAAACTATTTTTTATCAAGAATTTTATAAAAGACATTGATTGTTCAGTATGATAAACATAAATTGCCTTTTTGTGTAGTAAATGGGTGCATGAATTAATGTATAAATAGAATAAAAGTTGAATGGTACGTAAGACTGTGATGAATCTTAATTGCCAACTGTGTCTATTTCATGTACAGTATTTTTTCATAGACATTAAATACCTCTTATTTGTTGTAGGTTAAACAAGTTCGAGATGTGACTGCAGACAATGAAAAAGAGCAGTCATCCACTCCTAAGAATACCAATTGTCTAATATGTAATAGTCGTTTAGGAGTCTCATCGCGTAATAGTTGTGAAATTTTTCACAAGACACTGTTAACATCATCAGAAAAGCCAGTTTCAACCTTAATCGGAACGTTTTTAGAGCAAGAAGTTACTGAAGATTCTGTGCATAGTCATGTAATATGTAAGAAGTGTTATAAACTCTTAAATGAAGCTGATGAAATAGAATGTAGGCTTTCAGAAATCAAGTTAGATTTAGTCAATAATTATAAAAGAACATTGAAAATTCAGACTGAAGGTGAGAAAGAAGTACTAGATGAAGACGATGATCGTAAACTCCCACTGGGATCAGAGGATGGCAATGTTGTGAAGAGAGGTCGTAAGAAAACTCTTCCCAAAAAAATTAAATCCCCTCCTAACAGCGAAGAAGATTATGATCAGAAGGTAATAAGTTTTGTAATAGATGAAATTTCTAAATTAAGTTTTAACAAAATTGGTGCTCTAGGTGAATGTTTGTAAAAAACTATGGAATCATATTGATTTACTTAAAAATGTAAGCACAGGTTTGGTTATTATTGTGTGTTATTGACCTACAGTACATAGGCTAATTATTGCATGATATTTATCCATAATGTTTGATTTAATAATGTTATTTTTTAAAACTAATGTAGATCCTCTTCTTTTGTATTATAATATGTCCATTAATCAATTCGTGATAAATTAATTAACATTTCTGACAAAAGGGAAATCTGCTCTTTTGGAAGGAACTCTTTTCTTTAAAAAAAGAGTTAATTAATGATTGCATTTATATTCATATTGCATATATATTTGAGTTCAAATTTATGGGCACAGTGAAATGATTCCTCTATTCGTGAGGCAAAAATTTTACTTTATTATTGTAATAATTTATTTTCTACTGATATTGTCATTTGTAATCCATTGTAAACTTACATTCAAATTGTGTGGTGCACAAGACAAAAACAATTTTGCAGTATACAATTTTACAATCTGAGTCAATGAATGTATTACTATGAAATATACCAATTCAAATGTTGGTTTATTCCATTAATAACTGATTATTGAATCTTAAAATATCAGGAGGTATCCCAGGTTGATTTCTTAATTCTTATTATGTTACTAAGGAAATAATTTTCATTCTGAGTTTTTTAATGTTACTGGGGGGCACAAACAACCAAGAACTTAATATTCTTTTGTGATAACAAGTGACAGTAAGCTCTGGACTGCCTTAGTATTTTCTTCTATCATTTTCTCAAGCTGGGAAACTGTTCGATGCTCTTTTTATCATACATAATTGAATTATGAATAAAATATAGCAATGAATGTAATTGCCAACATTTAGAATTCATTTTTCCTCCCACATGTGTAAGAGGAAATTATAACAACGTCAAACAAGCTACAGATTGGATTTTATAGAATTGGCAACAAAATCACCCCATCCCCCTCTTCTCTCATGCAGCAAAATCAGAGTAAAATGTTCACAGATAATACAAACATTACATTTTGTCCTTGATGAATACTTTCCAGTAATTTAAAAATGAGCTGAAGTTTCTATTTTCCCAAATGAACCAGTGAATGCTTTAGAAGTAAATAATATGAAACATTAAGAGTGATATTAATAGGTAAATAAGTATTGAGATATTCACAGAACTTTCACAAATGTCTTTTGGGAAATACTATGTGCATCAATTTATTGCAGCTAATGGTAATCAGTTTTAACTTATATTAAATTATTTATTTCACTATTTTAATTCAGTAAGTGAAAAGAATATAACAAATAACAGATGTTTAACCAGAAAGATTTACAGATTTCATCAGTATTAGATGGATGTGAAGTAGATTGTAGAAGTGAATGTGATTAGAATTCTAGTGATATTGAAGTCAAGAGGAAAATATTTTTCTTTTTCTTATTAAGTAAACATTTCAATTATGGAATTGAGAGAAAACACAAAATTCTTCAACAATAGATTACAAAATCATATGCTGTTATTTAACTCTTACCTAAGAACTATCCATGTTGAATCTACTTTGTCTTCTTTCAATATTGAGGTGGTTCGTGAATCTCTGATAGAATATTTGCTGTTTTTTTTCTGCGGAGTTGAGTTGGCATATCAAAATAAAATACAATATTTTCTTATGAAAATGCTTTCAGTGTTGTTTTAAATTTATCAACTTTTGTATTGTTTTTTTAATACATGAAAATATTTCACTTTTGAAATTTGTTTTAGGAGAATACCTTGTGTGAAGTTGAGATGTCCGACCATGAAAGTGATTATGCAGAGGCTGCAAATCAAGAGGATGGTGGTGGGGGTGAAGGAGAGGAGGATGGTTCCAGAGCACTTATGAAAATTAAGGAAGAGCCAGAAGATGATGATGATTCCAGAGACACTACTAAACGTAGAGTCGGAAAGCTGTCAGCTAAGAAAAAAGCGGGAGATGCCCAGGAAGGCGAGGCTCCAGAGAAAATTATATGTCGAGAGGGTACAGACTTCACTTGCTTGTTGTGCGTTGCAGAAGCAAAGGTTATGGGGGACATGAAGGGCATTGTGAATCACATGAAAAGCGTACACAACATACGTGTGTATGTATGCGACATATGCGGGATGGATTTTAGAAAACGTAATGAACTTTCAGCTCATTTAGACGAACATGTGGCTACAGAGGAAGGCGATTTTCAGTGTGAGGTTTGCAATAGAATTTTCAGTAACTTACGCCTGTTTCGTGTTCACAAAAGGATGCACTATCCTCAGTCTAAATTGTGGACTTGTGAGACCTGTGGAAAACGTTACAGTTCACGAAATCTTTTGGATGAGCACATCAACACCCACACAGGGGTCCGCCCCTATGCATGTGAAGTGTGCGGTAAAGATTTTGCTTCCAAGTACACTTATAAAGCTCACACAAAAACACACGAAGTGAGACCGAGACCGTTTTCATGTGGTGAATGTGGTAAAACTTTTTTGAGTGCTCAGAATCTTGCACAGCATGAACGCACTCATACAGGTCTTCGAGATTACGTCTGCGATCAATGTGGCAAAGCCTTTGGAACTGCTCGGAACTTGGAGGTTCATTCAGTGGTTCATTCTGGATATAAGCCTTTCATTTGCCGAACTTGTGGCAAGGCATTTGCTCGGAAAGCCGAGATTCGAGATCATGAACGTACCCATACTGGTGAGAAACCATATCAGTGCGAGTTCTGTGGGGCAACGTTTAGTCAGCGCAGCAACCTGCAATCACATAAGAGGGCAACCCACTACCAAGACAAGCGTTATAAGTGCACAGAATGTGGGAAAGGTTTTAAGCGGCGGCGTTTACTAGACTATCATGTCAAAGCTGCCCATACAGGCGAGCGCCCTTACAAATGCACTACCTGTGAAGCAACTTTTGTTTATCCTGAGCACTTTAAGAAACATCGCCGCATTCACACGGGAGAGAAGCCCTTCCAATGCGAAGTGTGTGGGAAAGCATTTAACAGTCGAGATAACCGAAATGCCCATCGTTTCGTTCACAGTGACAAAAAGCCTTACGAATGTCTGGTCTGTGGCATGGGATTTATGCGCAAACCTTTGTTATACAATCACATGCAGACACAAGGGCACATGAATGACACCATTGTAGTTAACCAGCCTCGTTTGACAACTGAAGAAGATATTTTACAAGACCCTGAAGCTCAGGAAATGGTCCCCGAAGCCACAGAGGTGGAGATGACTATTGTGGATGGCCTCGGTCAGCACCAAGATCAAGAAACCAAGGTTTATATTGCAGACTTGAAGGATCACGTTATTATACAACAAGAAGGTGATAGCACTTACGCCGAAAAAACAGTAATGGTGGGTGATGCGGACATAAAAAATGCAGATGGTCAACACATTGTACAAGAAGCTGTGGAACATCTCATAATAGATGGCGCTGTTCATTTTGCTGACCCCAGTGAGTTGGCCAGCCTGCACAATGAAATAGGATCTATTGCTGAAATCACCACTACTTCTAGCTTTGGGCGAGGCGGAGAGGGTCGCCATGCTCTGGTGGTGCCTGCAACACCGAGAGTTCTCTCTGCACAAGGCTACGAGGATGGTCAAAACGGATTACCTGAAGGCACTGTTACTACATTAGCACCATCACAAACCATCCAGAGTCCCGGTGGACCTGTTCATTTGGTGCAGATTCGCATTCCGAGAGAGACTGCATCTAATGCTGCATGGGTAAATATTGTTGAGAACCCACAGTGACAAGAATCTCTTGATAATAAACTATGTCAGTGGTGAGGATGAAGTATCCTGATGAGGATATTTTGGAAGAAAGTGTATTTTGTTCACAAGTGACTACAATTATTTTTCATTCTTGACACTATTCATTGATTGAATCGGTTGAAGAGAGAGTATTTCATGTAATTAATGTAGTTCTCTTAAGATTACTTGAAGTAATTAGTTTAAAGGCCATTTAAAGGCAAAATACTTTATATGTAGTGATGCTTGAAACACTACTGTGAAGTTAAATAATTTTCTTGGAGCCAACGTACATTGCCTTATAGAGTTTCAAGGTACTTTTCTGATTAAGTTTTACAA